TATATATAAATAAATGTTTATATATGTGTGTGTGTGTGTGTGTGTGTGTAGGTCAAAATTTTTTATTTTTGAAATGTTAAAATTGTTTTGTTATTTTTGAAATGGTAAAGATAAAGTAGGATAAATGAATTTTTCTCTTTTTTCATTTTGGGTTGAGGCAAATTAGAATAGTAGGAAATTAGACCCAATCAGATTTGTCAAGATTCAATTTTAAAAATCAGATATTAATTCAAATATTATAAATCAATATGTTAATATAAAAAATAATAATATTATAAATTAATTTATATGCACACCATATTGTATCTACCACAAACCCTAAATCATTTTATTTCTTTTCTTTCTTTTCTTCTCTCCATTCTCTCTTCTTACCTCGTCTCTCTCTACTCTCTCCATCAAACCGTCGTCGAAGACACCTCCAACCGTTGCTGAGAGGCCCCGCTTAATGTGGCCGCCACATAAGGTGATGTCGCTGCTGCACTGCGTCATCGCAGCATGACGATGTGAAAGTCGTAGAGCGGTATCGCGATTGCGATCTGGTGGACTTGTGGAAGTTGTTACGGTGTGGTGGATTTGTGGTTGTGGTGTGGTGGATTTGTGTGATTTGTGGAGATCGTGGTGGTGGTGACAGTTTGGGGATTTTTTAGTGGGGTTGGTGGTTGCGAAGGTGGTTGTCATGGAGATGGTGGTGGTGGTGGCGGTGGCTATGGCTATGTTTGTGGTTGTGGTTGTGGTTTGGTGGTGATAGGGGTGACAGTGTTGGTGGTGGCCATAGCGGCGACGACGATGATGGTAGGTTTGGGGATTTTTTGGTTGGTGGTGGCGTTGATGGTAATGGATTTGAGAAGATGGTGGTGGTTGTGTTATTGGAGGCAGATGGTGAGATGTTGGTGGCGATGTGTCTGTCGAGGTGCTGGTGGATCTAGTGCGACGATGTAGTTGTGTTTTATTTTGCAATGTGTTGATTTGTTTAAAATAAAATGTAGTTTTTTCTTTGTAGGTCGGCTAATAAAGATTGAACAAGATAATATATAATTTTATTTATTTACTATTTAATATTGTCCATTCGAACTTAATATAATAGAAAATTGAATTACTTTAATTTTTGTTGATAAGTTGTCCCAAACCGATCAGTACAACTCAACCAGACCGATATTTGATTGGGTTGAGTTGAGTTGAGTTTCAACCTTTACATATGTTGCGTTGGGTTAAATTTTTATCCAACCGATCATGTTGGTTGGGTTTAGGTTGAGGGGAAAATCGACCCAACCCAACTCATGCCCACCCTTATTTGTAACTTATAATATTTGTGATTTGTGATCAATAAATAAATTGTATTTTTTATTTTTGATAAATGAACAAATTGTGAGTTATAAAATTTTTGATTGAAAATGTGTGATTATCTGACAAGTTGTGATCGATAAATAAATTGTGATGTATAAATTTTTTATTTGTGACCGATGAACAAATTGTGACATATAAAATTTTTGAATTGTGACTATAAGATAATTTGTAACATATAAATTTTATGATTTGTGATTGAAAAATAATATGTGACTAACTAAATCGTTAATTTGTGACCAATTGTATAAATTTGTGTCCTTAATATATTTAATTAATTAATGAAATTATAAATAAATTTTAATTAGTATTTGATTTTTGAAATTTGAATCATTTGTTCTTAATTTTAAAATAGGTGGTATTTAACCTCTTAATTATGATTTTCCCCCCCTTAGAATATGGATGGTAAACAATTGGAAAACCCAATACTTAAAAAGTACTAAATCTTAGACAAATTTTTAAAAATGAACAATACATAAATAAGGTATTTAAGTATCACCATTTCAAAATTAAGGATGGAGATTTTAAATTTCAAAAATCAGGTTTTCATTAAAATTTATTTTTAATTTAATTAATTAATTATATATTTTATTAATAAATATATAAAGGACACGGATCTATGCAATTTGGTCAAAATTCAAAAAATTTATAGGTCACAATTCATTCATCGGTCACAGATTAAAAATTTAAAAGTCACAATTTGCTCATCGATCACAAATCACAAAATTTATAAGTCACACAACTTATTTTATGGTCACAGCATATCAAATTATAGGTCACGAATTACTTTTATTAATCATAACTCGATTATAACTTAATAAAATGTGATTTACGGTCACAATTTTTAGGTCACACATT